TGGGAAGGAGAGCTGCGGAATTGTGACAGAGCATTCTCTTTAGAAGGGAACGGAGCGCTTTCTTTTCATTAGGTGAGGACGAAGCACTTCCCTTTCTGTCTATATAAAGACGAAGTGCTTCTTCCTCCTGTGTAGATGAAAAGAAGGCTACCGTGGATGCAGGAATTCAAATTAGTCGGGGAACCAGGAAGGGAGTTTCACAGATTGAGGGTACAGACTATTTCAGCCCTATCTGATTGAATTACAAGTACAAGTTATTATAGACCTATTCATTCAATTCTGGCCTCGTCTTGGTCCCTAGTTTCCCATACCATAGACACGCTGTTCCATAATGCCCAAGTATATATTAATCTCCCTACATTTTCTCATCCTTGGGAGATACTAGTGAGATATAGGCATATTATTACCTACCAATGCCGTACTAATTCAATCCTTGGGTAAGAAAGTTCGATATTTGTATTTATTTGTTTTTGCTCTAATTACTTCGTCCTTTGATGAGACGTTAAGTCGTTGATCCAATGTGCATAATTGCACATGCGCACAAAACATAACTCAGCACACTATTTGAAAAGAGTTGGCGACTGAACAAATAGAAATATTTAAATAGTATTTGTATAATATATTTAAAAAAATCTCTTTGTTATGTGGAGTAATGCTACAAATACATTTTAAACTGCAAATATTATTCATATGCAGACGCCTTAAGAAACTAGGCATAGAAAGCAGAAGTCCCGGGCTCGGGCTTTAAAAAAATGAATAGGCCCTATATACAATATATATGAATGTATATATATACATATAACAATATATATATATATATATTTATAGCTTACGATATTGCGATATATATATATATATATATATATATATATATATATGTATGTTAATATACCGTATACTGTCGCGATGCTTCATAATCAAATAAACCATATATACCTTTTGAAATAATATAAGTTTTAAGAGGTTATTGTGCAACATACGTTATTCATATTTTATTGTTTCAAACTTTACGTCTTCATATTTTTCTGAATATTTGAGATATGATATACGAGGTCATTAATGTCAGTGTCTTGTATGTCCTACATTATGACTTAGTAAAACTGGTTCATGTTCACCTAATGTCGAAATGAACTATAATAACCAATGCCAATCATGAAAATCATACTATTGAATGCAAACTACACCCATTAAGTATTGAACAATCTATAATTCCTTCTATAATAAAACAAAAATACTTTTTTTTTATATTTACGTGATTGTCAGAATAAACCAGGTGGTGTGTTTGCCTGCGGTTACCAGATTCTCCTAGATAATCGATTGATTTTTTTTTTACTTCATTTGTTGTAGTTTTAGGGCTATGTATTTCCTACGGGGACTTTTTAAAATATAGATGTCAGTTTTTACAGTCTTATATTGAAAAAAATGTCAGACCATAATGGAAAAGTCAACCCCGGATGAAATAATTGCACATTTTGTGTTTCACATCGTCTGGTAGCCAAACCAAAACATGAAACGCAGACGATTTAGTGACTATTGGTTTTGACGCGCGTTACGTCACACAACAAGTTCAACCTAGCGATAAGAATCAAATCACAATGATCAGCAATTGACACGGCAATAACCAAATAACACAACAAATTATCTACCATATGAACAATAAAATAATCACAAATTCGGCGGTAATCCGACAAAGTATCGCTAAGAATCCCGCCAAAATGATTCCAAATTGGGCCTGACAGCTCGAGAAATTAGATTACACAACGCAATCAAGCTCGGGCAGATGCATCAAAGTTAATAAAAAGCACTCGCTATGGGCAAAATATACAAGATTTATGCTTATTCATTTTGTGTCTGCTGAAAAGATTTCTCGTTGACTGATAAAACGAAATTGAGTTAGCGATATTAACGTCTATGTTTAGCTATAGCGTTTTGATTATACATCACGATATACATGTTCCCACAGGCTTTTAATTAAATGATGGTTCATTTTGTAGAGTGTTCATCTAACTCCGTGTTGCTTTCTTTGTGTCCAGCGGAAAAGAACAGCCAGGAATTACCTTAATAAATTGAATGCATAATCTCTGTAGATTAAATTACTCCAAGATAGGCCAAATAAATCACATGACTTTAGCCAAACCGTGCTTGCAGAAGAATTCCGAATCAATCCGAACGTATTACTTGGTATTTTCAGTGGTCATAATACGCGATTTTCAACTTCCATTAATTTCTTTTGTTTCAAATTATACTAATGTTTGAGACAATAATTTCATGGCTACAACCTCTCGTCTGTTTTATAAACGTTAAGTTAAACTTCGATCGATTGGGTAGGATTATTCATCTGCAATATTCTCAGATTATAGGCCTACCCTAAAATGGATCTCACGTACAATATATGGATCATTCTAAATGCTTTATAACAACGTCAATTAAATCCTTCATAAATTAAAATTTATTACATTTATCAAATTTATTAAATATATACTTAAGAATTTAGTACACGCTCGGGGCCTGGTAATTTCCGGGGTTTCTTTTAATACGATGGCTATGTTGTATACTTAAAAAATAAAAGGACAGACAAGTAAACAAATGTACAGACTCAAAACATGGTTGTTGTTGCTATTATTATTATTAATATTATTATTATTATTAAAATTACAATTGATATTATTATTACCATCATTGTTACCTTTATCACCACTATCATGTCGTCATCATCGTAAGTCTTTATCATTATCAATATTATTATTATTGTTTTACAGTTTTACTTCCACCTAACACCGAGTCTCCCACTGCGGCTAAGAGTGATAGAATATTTTATTAATTTCCTGTGTTTTTATGTATACTGTGCAATTTACTGCGTTTTTATGTATACTGTGCAATATCCATCAGCGTAATTTTCATCATCATCACCGTTTTTTTTTTTTTTTTTTAATAATTATAATAACAAAGACTTTTAACTATACAGAAGTCTTGGTAATACTATAATTAGTATGCAACTATATTATACAGTTAGGGTATATGAGAAAATACAAATGTTTACTTGGAAGAAAACCTTAAGATATACCGTACTCCATATCGTAAACCAAAACAAAATAAATTACAATATTGAATTTTTCATTTAAAAGAATGGATTAAGTTTTATAAACGAGACATATACCGTAACGCAATATCTCAGTTTCCGTTGACTTACTATCTGTTTACCATCATTTAAAAAAAAATGATTACACATACAAATCTTTGATCAATTGATCTATCAATCAACATGGATTACACATGCTAATAAAGGTCTATCACCGATCTTATTTATTCTTCTGTTACTTGCCATAAAAAAATAGTTTCTCGTTCTACTTTTTTTTTTTTTTTTTTTTTTTATCTCATACAGAGTATATAATATGTTTTTTCTTGGCAAAACATACTGGTATATACATTATGCATACAAATTAATTCAAATGAAAGCTAATTAGAACTGAATAAAATGATGAATAAGATATTAAATGAGCATTCTAATTGCTATTCATTGTTGATCAAAATATGTGCAAAACAGTCACGGAATATAAATATCGAAGACAATTTTATTACAGATATTATAGCAATGAGGACAAAAAGAGGCATTTTTACATACTGTATCTTAGTCAATTGGACCCAACTATGCAGGGTCAGGCCATATTGTTGGAGCCACTTTTACAGGGGCTATTTTCTATTTCTGAGCCATAATTTTAAGTGTTCTACCAATAATTTGTTAATATTGTGTATTGACAAACTGGTATCAAACGTCAATTTTATAAAAGCCATGTTTTTTGTCGATGGCCACTCTTGCTTTCGTATTAAACTGATGGTCTTCAATGTACCATTTGAAGAGCTGTTTTATTCGATAAATTTACGGCATAATAATACATATTAGTTGACTGTATATAAATATCTTCACTGTTTTTATATGGTCATAGACATGTACTGAAACAATTATTTACACAGAGTAAAATCATATGAATTATGATTAAACTTTGACTAAATTTTCATATATATATTTATATATAGGCCTATATAAAAGACACAGTAAACACAATATAAAAAGATAGGTAAATAATATAACAATGCTCAAATCAGAACATGATGTAATAATCGGTACACCACGCACCTTAACGATACTAAAATGTTCTTGTAATATAGAGCAAATTGATTACGCTGTAAGACCTTTATATATTTTAATGAAGAATGGAATATGATAGTTTTACGTTCGCCAGTTAACATTTTGTCGAAGTATAAAGTCACACAAGTGACATTAAATTCCTTTAAAATGTCGAAACTTCAAAGGCTATTCTCGAATGCAATTAGTAAAGTTGGAATATTAGAGCATGGACCTATTAATGGTTAGAGTGACGATCACAGTATTACGTCAGATGATGATGGCATCTTAAAACTCACAGTAAAGGGCGTATTACTTATGTTGTAAACTTATAAAAAAAAGTAATTGCTTAATTGTTCTTTCGATCTAAAGTCAATATTGTATAAATTTTTGCGTTGACTTTGTGTTCGTTTTGCAAACTCTTGCGCATTATGAGCCGTCCGTTTAAACTTCAATATATTCTAAGCAATCAATTTAATTCGACGAAATCAATTAACTATAATTCATCGGTGTTATCTGTCTTTAATCCGAAGCGAACTTTTCTCAATTTCTCGCATGTAACGATATTCGCATGTCGAATCAAGTAATATCGTTAGAAAGATCTATGAGGCTTTGGTTACAACATACACATACTACAGACTAATAATATGATCAAGTTTTACACGCATAATTGAAAAACCAATAAGTAAACAGACTTGTAAATTATATGCCAGTGACAACTTGCGTCGACCAATCAGCGAGCTCGCCCAAACGACAACTACTAATAAAGGCGGGGAGAGAACTTGTGACGTCATAGCTATGATTTATGATACCAATTTGTCATGTCCTTAAGAAAAAAAGATAGGTATTTCTATATACATGAAGATACTAATCTAAACACAGTTCCTATTATTGTGTCCTGTCCACTCACCTTAAGCGGTACTCACGTCAGGAGCTGCTCTCATAATTCGGCTACTCAAGTCAGTACAGGTGTTTTCTGAGCGAGAAGAAAAGTTACAGGACTTAGATATAATGCTTATTTCTATAAAGCAAGAAACTTGATTCTTTAAGCAACCGATGCTTGAGTCCTGTTGCGATATCTTTTGTGTAACGCGTTGTTGTCATCGATTAAGTGTTTTTGAACAAATTTTGGAAAATTGATTTTACACTCCAACAGCAAATAATGACAGATTCACTATTAAACTTCCAGGCTCTCATGAACCCTGCAAGATCAAGTGCATTTATTATGAGCAATCCACAACTAGCTGCATTGCATAATATGGCGGAAAAAACACCGGGTTTAGCCTACCCCACAGGACAGGTCCGCAAAGCATTGTCGCCTTCAGGCACACCACATGGAATCAACGATATTTTGAGTAGGCCAGAGTCAGCAGGGGCATTCTTTGCAACACCTATGGGTATTCCTCGTTTGAACTCTTTTGCATCTAGCTTTTACTTGAATCGACTTGCTAAGCCCCTTAGCGAACTAGCGGGACATGCAAGTTCAGGGCCGTCACCTTTATACTGGCATCCCGCGAGTATTTTCCAGGCTCCGTCACCGTGGGCTGACCGTTTAGCGTGTGCTTCAGGTAGGTAGGCCTAAAGTCATACTGACCACTAACTGTACATACTCATTCTTTCGTGAATACAATTTAACGTGAGTGCGTTAAAAGTAATTGAATTGCATAAAAACAAACACGTATCAAATTATGGGTTAAAGTTCTAAAATCTTAATTTTAAACATAGGCCTGTTATTAATCATTATTCCATAATTCGATTTGTTTTACATATCAACATATATCTAGTTTGCGGTTGCTTTCCAAACAAGCTTATTATCAGTATGTTCTATCGCAGGTTAAACCAATCGCGGAATGAACATCTATTTCCTCACAGTACTACACAGGCCTACATCACCGTGTCGGTCTGATATCGTAAGCTACACGCACCTAATAACATAAATATTGTAATGCATGTTTTAATAGGCCTACTAGCCTATGTTAGCTTGTGAATCAACCTCTTTTGATAATATTTAATTCATATAACTGTTTAAAACACCATGTTTTTATACTTGTCAAGAATATTGCAGGCCTGCCAGAAAATTCATCGTTGCAACAACATACCGTAGCTAAAACATACTTTAAGCAGACAATCTTAGCTGTAAGCATGTTTCTATATTTCGTAGCTTTTCAAATGTATTCAAACAAGCTTCAAATGTGTTTTTCTAATAAGTAAATAAATCACAAGGTGCAGATTGTTTAAGGAATTTGATCATTTTGCTGAATAATATTTTTTCGTTCATTTCATAAAAGATTTATTGACGACCACATATCTCGGTATAAGATCAACTGATAGCCTTATAAATACAGTATTTAATTTACAAGTTTTCTCTTGTTATTAAAAATTATATAAGATTGTGTTTAATATTATTATCAATAATTAATGACATATTGTGTGCATAGATATATAAAATTCGTTAACAATTTATTTATTAGTCTTTCTTAGAAATCACAGTGTTCATATACGTTACTTTTATTTCAGCAAACGAATACCAAACAGTTTATTCAAAATCAAATTGTGGTTATCATTTATAATCTTTATACACTTCTTTGAAATACAATATCTACTGGATTTATAGGTATTTCGTAAAATCAATAAACTCAAAATTTAAGGGTTTTTTTTGTTTTTTGCAAGTATTCATTCTCTTTCAATTAATATGATACGTCAATGAAGCGCATTTTACACTCTCTCAAATGAACATATTTACGACAATATCTGAAGTTCAAATAAAAAAAATGCATGCCAATTTGAACGTAAAACGTTTTTAAATTCGTCTTTATTGTTTGGAATTAGCTTCTTAACGGTATGCACATTATAGTGTTGTTACCATGATGGTGTGATGTTATTTACGACTTATACCTCGGTAATAATCGCAATCGTATTAAGGATGCATACTTTCAAAAAAGAATCCAACGTCGTCTTTTGTTTGTACATCGTATCCTCCTATAAATTAGGTGCAAACTTTATGCACTAAAACACCGCTGTTATGGAAAATTCGTTTGTCTTAGCGTAATCATTCCCCGAACGTTTCATTCGAAAGGATGGGCTCTCTGGCATATTATAAGGAAAATCCAATTTTGTCTTATCGTAGCAGAACACCAGATCACCAGATAAATGATGCATTTCTATTAGGTATTTGAGAGAACAGATGGTTAAATCATTACAATACGTAAAAAATCTCAGGTGCGTATGCCTGCAAACACCGTTTATACCTGAAATAACCTATTATTTTATAACATGCATGACTATTATATTGAATTATGCTATATTTATGTAATATTACATCCCAGTTTAATATATCATAGTATGTCTTTAGGGGTTCTTATATAGTCCTAATAGGATGTATGTTATAACGAATATTATGCTATATGAAATTATATTATAGGCCTATATGAATTGTTAGGCCTATGCCTGTATAAAATGCGGTGTACAATAGCATTTGTGACTCTTACTAAACATCGAACAAGGCATTGTTAAAAACATGCTTAGATTTATCAAGCATGAGTAATTGGCAGCCAACTCATGTCCATTCCAAAGCCATGCCATTACGATCGGTTCTTTACGAAATCCACACAGGATGATAAACCGGAATGAAATGAGAATTAACGATATCATAATGATGATGATGCTTGCAATACTCGCCATTCAAAACCAATGAAAGTAATTCAAAAAATATGTTGACGAACGTTCAAAGGTTGTGTGCACGTCACACTTTTTGAGTGTACGTGCCGCGTTTAATTTTCACGTGTACGTGGTACATCACGTGTGTTTTTCGCACGTCTGTGTTACGTCACAGCGTATGCACGTACAGTGTCAGTAACATATTATACTTTTCGTATTTTGCCTTTATAGCGTGTGTATACGTCACACATTTTGCACATACGTGTCGCAGGTTTTTGCATGTGACACATTTCCCCCTTGTAAGTAGGCCACGGTAGAAATGAATACTGTATAGGCCTGATGACGTAAACAGATGTCTATTAATACAGACGGGAAAATTATTAAATTTAAACAAACATGACATTGTGAGTGATTAAAATGTTATCAAAGTTTAATGCAGCATATTTTTCGAATAATGTTTATTAGTTTTTGCTTAGATAATATATTAATTCGTTATGTCAATAGTTATTGTTTAGCATTTCATGTAAAATTCTGAATTTAATGATTAAGTGATTTATGTTTCCTACTGGAGAGCACAGTATGTTTATTCTCTGTATAATATGTGTGTTTAAGTTAACAACATAAAATCAACAAATTGATCTAGGTCAGAAATAAACTATATACATCCAGATAGGACTATGTAAATGTTTATCTTCAAAGTTAGACCTACTCTCTATAGCTGTGAATTATAGTCGTTTGGATAGGCCTATTTATCGTACTTAATCAGCAAATACAAAAAGTTATTACTCGCGAAGGTTGTTATTTTGTCAGGAAATAACGTTAACACAACCTTGCAGCAACATTTACAACGTTATCTAATTAGAAATTACGTTATAAATACATATTTATGGTTCTACATAAAACAACGTTTTGAAAGTCAAAATGCAACATTATTATAATATAATATATAATTGTTAGTTGGGTATTTTCATATTCCATTGGGTTTGATCATAAACTGCTTATTAGAAACGCATTTCATAGGCCTATTATTTGTTAGATATATTCCTAGAGTAAATTTATTAATAACGTACAAAGCACTAATATAGACTAAAGTTAGGCCTCTATCCAAGCTTAACAATCCAAATGGCGGCTAAAAATACCATCATTCCTTTCGACTGAAACGAAATTTCCCTTCACAAGCCTCGTATAAAGACTTGGCATTTTAAATTATTTCGTTATGACTGTAGTCTTCGAGGTCCTTGAACGAAAACCGGAATATGATCCAATAATATATCGTATTTTGATAGTTTATAAATGTATCGCATTATATTGAAAAACAGAGTACGTTGTATGACTCGAGCTACAGCTACCGTTCCAAGACAAAGCGCATGAACACAAAATGTCGTTTCGACACGTCCAGGCTTAAATGTTGTACATAAATTATGTTGCAATGTCTTATCCTACTAAATAACCAGAAAACACTGAATAATCCTTCCTTATCATTAAAGGGGCCTACCTCGAACATGAAAATACGACTTGCATACTGGCGCGTACAGGGAAATGCCCAGTGCGTCTGCGCAATCCTAAGCAAGCAACTTTTAGGTGCCGGGTGCAAATAACCTTTGCAATTGTTTGTCATATCATATTAAGCGATACTTGTAGGAACACACGTTAGATATTAATCACCCTAATCGACGTGTAATACACACAATCATTCAGATAGCTAAGTGAGATTTTATTTTGAGATCGCACTTTGAAACGTGGTGTTAAGGCTGAAGACATCTCATTATGAGAGGGTTGGTCTAACGTTCAGGGGTCGTTCGTGCTGAGATATATACCTAGTTTAAACGCAATGAAATAATGGGTTTAGGTACATCTACTTTTGGCCATGTACTCAGGAAAGCTAGTTAAAATATCTTACATTTCTAAGAGATTATTACATATTTGTATTGGTTATAGTTTTGGTTATATACAAACATTAGATTCACTGGCCCATCCGATAGATATCAATGATTACTATCATTGTTTTTATTATTTTTAATTATTGCTGATAAAATAACATATTCATCAGATGCCCAACTCCCATTATGGTATCGAATTCGATTATGAAAAATTGTTATTATTATAATAATTATTATAATTATTATAATTATTATTATTATTATTTTATTATTATTATTATTATTATTATTATTATTATTTTATTATTATTATCAACATCATCATCAACATCATTACCATTATCATCATCATTATCACCATCATCATCAATTTTATTAATATTCGATTATGATATATATTATTTTTTATTATCATCAATATCGTCATCAATGTCTTCATCATCCCCACTAACATCACCATCACCATAATCATCATCACCATCATTATCATCATCAACATCATCATCATCATCATCATCCGCATCATCCGCATTATCAGCATCAGCACATTCGTCATCATCAATATTATTAGTATTATTTTATCCATATTATTACATCATATTATTTTATTATTAATATTGTTATCATTCTTTACCATTATATTACCATTATTATTATTAGACTTATTATGATTATCATACATGGCTTCTTTCAGATGCAGCAACAATTCTCAGTACTCATTGTAATGTATGCTCATATTTTAATGTCTTGATTTTTATCTTGAAAACCACAATGCAAAACACGTATGTTATTGATTGTATGCAGTAATCCCTGTAAACATGTATAAATTATATAAAACTATACGATGACTTACTATATATTCATATTAACAGTTCATCAAATAAAAAGATATCGTTTATTTAACAACCTCTTAATGCATTGGCATAACACTCACTGAATTCAATATATAAAATATTATTATTAATTGTTGTTATTATTATTCTTTACAAGATACAAGATACAATTTATTGTCTTCAATAAAAACGAAGAAATTACAAAGCTCACAAAAAAAAGTACAATTCAAAGAAAATCATATTAAAATTGATCAACGTTGAAAAGTATCAACATCAATATTCCATAAAAATCCATTGACAAAAGCATAAAAATATTTAAAATTATAGAAGGCCTTCTTAACATTATACATTATTATTATTATTCTATTATTAATTACCACACTCATAATGATAACGTATAAATTAGATTAATACCGTTAATAACTTTATGAAATACTTTGTACCGCCTGATCAAATAAACAATTCTTATGATCTATCGAAGCCGACAGTGTTCGATAAAAAAAAAACACTTCTCTTGAATAGTTAACAGAAGGGAAATTAACAGCTGAACATCCACAAACGAAATGGAAGTATGTGTGTTTTAATTGATACGATAAGCAATCATATACTAATAACACAATGGGCGGACCAGGTTAATGAACATATGAATAACTTCCCAAAACAATCGAATCCATTTAATAGCAGTGGAAAGGATCATTGATTAGATTATATATCACTTAAGCACACTACTAATTAGACCAATGGCAATATCATTTTTGTTTGTTAGCAACTTTTATAGCACTAATTGTTGGTGTTGATAGCCGTGCCCAGTTGAGTTTACTTGGTTCTTTAAAAATCAATCAATCAATCAATCAACCAATCAATATATGAAGAAGTATTTGTAAAGCGCTAATATCCACAACAGAATGTTCAGTGCCGCTATGACAATGGTAAATATTAACAAGCATCCAATCTTACACTAAATGGAGATTGCCGATAATAGTTATTGACAATATCAGTTGACAACGCGCTATAAAAGGCCTATTAGTATTATTGTTATTATTATTATTATTGTTGTTATTATTATTATTATTATTATTATTATTATTATTATTATT